GTAATATTGAGGCCTAAGAGTTAGTAATGTTGAGGCCTAAGAATTAACAAAAAATTAGAAACTCGAACCCGGTCAAAGACCGGGTCTTAAGAGCTAGTATTAATCTTACTATTTATGCTTATGTGGTATAATTTTTTTTCTATTTATCGTATTTTGTGCTGCCTTTGTGCATATGATCGGCATCAAAAATTTCCTATTAATCTATAAAAGGAAATTCTTTTTGCAACCATTTTTATATATATCTATATCTATATCTATATATAATATGAATCGATATCGATATAGATACAAGAAAATTATTTTTTTGAAAAAAAAAAATATATATATATTTTATTAGATAAAAACAACTTAATTTTATTAAAAAAAGCTTCTTTTTTGCGCTTGTATGTATATTTTACTTTATGTTTAAGTTTCTACTTTCCGATAATTTTTTAGTTTTTGTTTTTTTTTTCTTCTGATTTTTTGCTAGTATGATGAATTGATAATCAGTGATCGTCAAAGGACATAACGAAAGATTGTAACGAAAGAATTTTTTTTTTTTTTTTCATTGGTTCGATCATAATATAACATGTAAATTTTTTTTTTTTGCATAAAATATAAAAAAAAGTATATTTTATATTATATATTCACTACTATAGTATCGTCTAAAACTGTTGTTTTTATCACTTGCTAAAAAAATAAATAAACAAATATTTATATAATTGGTTAATCCTATCATATTTTATGGCTTATATATAGTATATATGCTAAGCCCTAACATGCGCCTATTTTAACCCTGCTAAGCACATTAAAGCTACATGTCATTTTCCCTACAAATCATTTATCCAACACCACATTAGCCACGAATATCTATTGCCATCTGTATGAAATCAGGTGATATAAAGAAATGATTACTAGGAACTGTATTAAAGTATTTATTTATTTATTTTTTTATTTTAAATAAATAAAAAAAAAAATCAACATCGTTAGAATTTTTCCTTGCCACCATTTTTTTTTTTAAGCATATGAAAAAAAAATGCCCAGCACTATTACTGTACTTTGTTATGTAACTGACCACTGATTATATTCTGGTAAAACTATGAATGTTGTTGATGCTTCAGGTTTCATGAACTCCCGAAGCTTAAATACACCTATGAAACTCTTTTTAAAAGGCTTTTATCCTGTTAATGCAACTCAAGAATTTAGCATTCCATCATTTGAAAAAGAAGATATAATTTTAGCTACCGGAAAATTTAGAATAGTTGAATATATAAATGAAAAGAATGAAAAACTTTCTGCCTTAAAAGTAAGTTTAGATTTTATAATTATAAAAAATAATTGTGTTATTGCCATGTCCTAATAATTGCAACAACATTTATGCTTTTAATAGTCATTCTATTTTATTTATCATGGCAATAACATACTAAAATGTATTACTCATAATTTGACTGTTTATTATATATACTCATTAATTAGAATAAGCTTTATTTAGATATTTCTTTATAATAATATGCTGAATAATGAAATTTATTCTAATAAACTTTTTATTTTTTTTACTAATATATGTATAGATTATTTTGAGTAACATTGTGCATCTTGATATTGAACCAGATGATCTTCCGAAGTTTTCTGCTTTGGTTAATATAATTGCAATGGTGAAAGAACCCCCACTTATCAATGATGATGATGGATTTATGACAGTTGTAATGAGCGACTATATAGATCAAGACCAAAGTAAAACTAAAATAAAATGTCACTACTTAGCAACTGCACCTCATCTGACTCGCTTAACTCTAGCTATAAAAAAAAATTCAATTCTTTATATTAATGGTGAATTTGTTTTGCACAACAATAGAAATTATATACATGTTAAAACTATGTCCTTTATTGATCATCACAAAACATTAATGAGTGCAGATAGTTCTTCTAAAATTCCATAGAAAACTGAAGATTCCGATAGTTCAAGTAAAGCTATTAGCTTTGCTGAAAAAATTGCAGCAAAATTTGATAATAAACATGTTACAAAAAACAAATCACCAGTTATTAACTCACCTATAACTTCAAAGACTGAACCTTATACACAAATCAATACAAATAAGAAATCACTAGTAACTAAATCTTTTAAAACTAAACCTTCTTCAACACCTAAACCATATACATGAACTAGAAGCAAACGCAAATTGACAGACTTGGCAAAGGACATGTTAAATAACTCAAATGAAACAAATCAAACTTCTTCTACTCCTCTTGATAATCAATCTGAATAAGTATGTAATTATATTATATTAATATTTCAATTTTTATATTTATATTGTAAATTTTATTAACATATCTTAAGCATTTTTTTTATATCATTCTCAGAATAATAAACTTTTTTTATATATTTTATTATGTACTGTTTATTGAATAAAAAAACTTTATTATTTATTA